TGCAAAATGCAGTCCATTTAATCTACAATTTATGACATTTTTTAAAGACATATATGCAAAATTTTTCTCAAAAATAAAGTCTTGTCGAGAGAAATTTGGCGACATTTTAGTGCTCCCACGGTGTCGTTCTTAGCACGTCAGTGTAGTGGATGAGGGGGAAGATAAATTAAATTCGTTCGTGCAATCTAAGTTTTTTGATGGGTTCGAGTGCCAGTGGGGCGATTATTGAAATGATATCGACTCTTATGTCGCCGCTTTGCCGTGTCGCGCAATCGACTGAGAGGCACTCGGTCGATTGCGCGGCACGACAAAGCCGCGACATAGAGTAGATGTCATTTCAATGCCCCGCAGCTGAAAGTGAACGCATCCCGGTAGGGAACAAATATTGAGATTCGAGACATCAAACTTTTGCTCATTGTTTCACCTTTTGTTTTTGGCATAAAACAGAACCCTCAGGCGTGGGGTCGTATTTCATCTGTTCTTTCCGGAAAAAATCCCCCAATTTTTATTTGCGAGACAGATCTTACTCGAGTCATCGTAATTACGGATGCTAGGACTTGGCGAGTTTTTGGACTACCGCTCTCTTTTTGGGCCGTAGTATCTTGATTTATTTTGCGAGGAAAGCTCCGTACTTTTGAAGGATGCCTGCCATTCCTAATATGTTGGAGCGCCTTCAATTTCGTACGATACGGTGCAATACTTCTGGTGTGAAATAGTTGCCTCAAGCGCCGTGGTACGCTGCGGCGCGGCGTGGCGGGCGGGCAGCCAGCGCGAAACGCGCATTGGCGCCTACAAACCTAACAGGGATACTTCACGCGTTGCGCAATGCGTGAAGTATCCCTGTTAGGTTTGTAGGCGCCAGTGCGCCGCCGCTCCGCTTTGTGTTAGGCTCTAATATTTAATCTTGTAGAGTCAGCGTTTTTCAACTCATGACTTTGAAATGTTTGCACACTCTGTATGGATTATTCTCATTTTAATTGATGAAAAAAAATATGTAGTAAAGGAAAGTATAATGTGCGTTTTGTAAATATTAAGGTGATCCTGACACTGGTAAACTTAAGGATTCACAAAGCACACGAATTTCTACACAATTTCTTATAGCCCTATATAGCCGATGGCGAAAAATCAACAGCCAGGCGATAAAGTGTAAAGCCCGGCGATAGGAACTATAGCCCGGCTGTATAATTTTTTATCGCTTCGTGTAGCCCGGCCGTAAGATTTTCTCCACTTTCTACAGCCAGCTATATGATTTTCTATCGCCTTCTTCAGTCGGCTATAAGAACTCCTATGGTATTTTGAAACGCAGGTCCTATCGCCAAATTTTACCAGGGCAAATGTATTCGATATCTCGATGTGTGCTTATTTCCGACGTAGATTCACCTCGAATCAGTCTGGAACACTCGTGCGTTTAATAACTTTTACACGAGAAAGCGCATCACAAGTTTTTACTTGTTCGATCATCCATCGCAAGTCTTGCAATCTTTAAAAAATGTCTGATAGGTAATGGACTCGAGATTGGCCATCTTAGGTGTCAGACTCATCTCATCTTAAGCTATCCATCAACTGGACTACATTTTACGATTCGGAAATATTTTTGATTTATTTCTAAAAGCACCCATTCAATTTCACCTCGGAAAGAGTTCCAGCAGAGTGAAAGTTCGAGGAGGAATGTGTCAAAAAAGCGAAATCGAAGCATTTAAACGAATTTTGACGGTTGCATCGACCGATTCTGAGTGTTACTGTTACAAAGTCAAAATTATATAGTGCTTCGACCGTGGTTTTTTTCATACGTTTCTCTTCAGAATTTCAATCCGAGACTAATATCCAAGTGAAATGAATTTTCTGAGCCCTGAAATATTCTAATTTCGGTGCAGTTTGGGATTTCAAACGAACAAGAGGTCCGTCAGTTTTGGCCCCTATCTACATTTTCCATTGCCGCAACGTTGCCATTTTCGAGATTGATGCGCATTTATCCGGGAGCAAAGTGTAACAGGGTTGCCATATTTTATGCCTAGGAGCTCCGCACACGAAGGAGGTATTTTTCAGCTGTTTCGGCAACCCTGCTAATGTATTCATTCCTATTGCTGAATTTATAATTTGACCGAATTAGGATGTGGACTCTCCCACAGTTACGGCCCACCTCCAGAATATTTTTAGCTCGGAACTGTATTGTATGTACATGACTAAAGCAGTTATCAGTTACCCAGTTTTACGCAGCATCAAGTATTACGTAACGCACTTTTTCCCATTTTGCAGACAATTTTCTTCGCAATTCATTACGTACCTGAAACTTTCAAAGAAAAATATGCACACCTAACTTTCCTCGAAAATAAATGTTTTATCGGTGGAAATTTGACAAAATTTAAATGCTCAGTGGCGTTCTTCCCTAGCACGATAGGATACACGTAAATTTCACCAGAATCAGCCTAACTGCACATCACATTGACAAATTTCCCTCCATATTATATTTTTATGAACAGAGACGTATGAAATTAGAACACCTACTTCTTGGTCCGAAGCTTTCTGAGAATTATTACTTCGATTACAAGAAATACAGGATGTCCGGAAGTTATCGTACTTAACTTTCAGGATCGATTTTTTGCCTCAAAATATGCCTTTTCCCCCAACAAAAATACTCGCCCAAAAATGCCTCATAAGTGAGCTATATGCTCTTCCACAGTTCCATTCTCTCCCTCTCAAATTGATGCGACTCCACGTTATTCAGTAAGTAGCTGAAATGATTTGAAGGGGGGTATTTTTTTTGCTCACTGTTCGTTTTTTGTGTTTTCAAGGACACACGTCTCCGGAAAATGATGTCACGAGCGTCGCCGAATTTTAAAATTGCTATACCTTTTTTTGGTAGATGATGTTTGGAAAAAAGAATTTCGGTACGTGAATGAGCGTAAAAAATCAAGGTACAGCCCAAAATTTTCCAGAAACGCGTCATTTCGACGCAACAGAGCTTTGAAAAAGTTCCAGATTTCCGAGGCTCCTTGCTGATCAGGCAATTTTTATCTAGACTTTTACGGATAGGCAAAATTTACTGAGACTGTAAGAAACATAGTTTTAAAAAATAATGTAATGCGTCGACCTCAGTGAAAAGCAAAAATACGGAAGAAGAAATTCCCTGGTAAAAATTGGCGATAAGAGCTGCGTTTCAAAGTACCACAGGAATTCTTATAGCCGGCTAAAGAAGGTAATAGAAAATCATATAGCTGGCTGTAGAAAGCGGAGCAAATCATATAGCCGGGCTATACGAAGCGATAAAAAAAAATGCAGCTGGGCTGTAGTTCCTATCGCCGGGCTTTACACTTTATCGCCATCGGCTATAAAAGGCTATAAGAAATTGTGTAGAAATTCGTGTGCTTCGGAAATCATTAAGTTTGATACGGAGCCAACATAATATTCACAAAACACATTATATTTTCCTTTAATACATATTTTTTTTTCATCAATTAAAATGAGAATAATCCATACAGGATGTGCAAACATTTCAAAATCATGAGTTGAATAACGCTGACTCCGCCAGATTAAATATTAGAGCTTAACACAAAGCGGAGCGGCGACGCACTGGCGTCTACAAACCTAACAGGGATACTTCACGCATTGCGCAACACGTGAAGTATCCCTGTTAGGTTTGTAGGCGCTAATGCGCGTTTCGCGCTGGCTGCCCGCCTGCCGCGCCGCAGCGTGCCACGGCGCTTGAAGCAACTATTTCACACGAGAGGTATTGCACAGTATCATACGAAACTGAAGGCGCTCTAATACTTTAGGAATGGCAGGCATCCATCAAAAGTACGGAGCTTTTCTCGCAAAATAAATCAAGATACTACGACACAAAAAGAGAGCGGTAGTCCAAAAACTAACCAAGTCCTAGTATCCGTATTTAGTAACGTTTAGCATAAACCTTATCGCCTGGCTGTTGCTCAATCGCCATCGCCTTTAAAAGGCTATAAGAAATTGTGCAGCCGGCTATAGAAGCTATTGGAAATCTTACAGCCGGCCGTAGGGCTATGGTATTTTCGAACACAGATTCTACTGCCAATTTTCACCAGGGTTAGGCAACATTTGATGTAGTTGGGCCGATGAACCACTAGACCATGTACGAAGTTTAGTATTCTGATACATGATTCTTAGCAGAATTTCTCGTAGAACACGATTCTTGTATCGAAAATCAGTGAAGTCAACTCCTAAGTAAAATAATAACGTTTTTATTTTACATTGGTCACGGGAAATTTGAATTGGCCGGTCACAAGAAACGCAATACTCTATACGTCAGTCCAATCGCGTACTACAACGGTTTCGGCAGGCTTCTCAATCAAGCTATGTTCATTCCTCACCCTGCCGAAACCGTTGTAGTGTTGTTCGAACTATGAACAACCTGCTATAAGGCTGAGCCAAAGCGTCGAGATTGAGGTGCCAGATTTTTATATAGCGAAGACTGTCACGGTAGCGTTTAGTGCGCGATTTGACTCACGTAGACTATTGTGTTTTCATGAGCACTTGTTCCTTTTCTGTTTTCATTGGTTTGAATACTCGCGTCAAAAAACATGAATTATCTTGGTTAGAAGTTGATTTCAGTAATTTTCGTTGCGCGAATCATGTTTGACGTGAAATTTTGATTAAGATTCATGCATGTATCAGAATGCTTAATTTCGTACTTTGTACGAAGACCAGAGGCGGATTTAGCAATTTGGCAACACTGTATATTCCATTTACACCTGTGTCGAATAATCGATTCTTGTCGGAGCACCTAGCCCCTCCTAGAATCGATACTTTTCCATATGTTTAAATGAGAAAAACGCAATGTTGCCAAATGTCTGGATCCGCCGATGCGAAGACCCCTTTCTATGAAAATCCGACTTCCTAGCATAGGTATATGTGAGTCCTGTTTGCACGAATCTTCAAAATTTAACATACGAAATAAAATTTTACTCCCTTTATTTACATTTCCCCTCGTAATAATCAAAACCGCAGAATCGCTCGACTAAAAAATCTACCTGAGCAGGAGGCGAATGGTTTTCGAAGAGCTCAGCATCCGGTTTGTCCGCAAGAACAGACGATTTCGTCCACAAGCAACTCAGCCCGCAAGAGCAAGGATACAAATTATCCAAATTATCGGGAATCCAAGTCCACTTCTTGACCAAAATACTGACGTGCTTTAGTTTCAGTCGCTCACAATCCAAATCGCAACCAGTCGGTTGCAGCGAAGGAACCGCGGACTGGTTCGGAATCACCTTGTTGTGCTTCTCCCTGAAGCGATCGCAACCCACCAGGGCATCCCATTTGCGCAACGAACCGGCGAAGGTTTCCGAGGAGGACGATGCTGGTTGGATCGGGATGGGTGTGGGAGAGAGTGAAACTGATGGGAAGTGGACGGATCCGGTCAAGAGGAGGAGGAAGAGGGTGATGGACAGCATAATTTTGAGCGGGAAGGTGCTCATCAGTCGCGGAGGAACTATCATGTTGGGCTCTAACTATCTCTGGAGAAGAGAAAAATGGTGAGAAAGTGAACTGATCCGATTTGCTTATCGGTAGAGAAGAAAAAAATGGCGAGAAAAGTGAAATGGTACGATTTGCTTATCGGTAGAGAAGAGAAAAATGGTGAGAAAGTGAACTGATCCGATTTGCTTATCGGTAGAGAAGAAAAAAATGGCGAGAAAAGTGAACTGATCCGATTTGCTTATCGGTAGAGAAGAAAAAAATGGCGAGAAAAGTGAAATGGTACGATTTGCTTATCGGTAGAGAAGAGAAAAATGGCGAGAAAAGTGAAATGGTACGTTTTGCTTATCGGTAGAGAAGAGAAAAATGGCGAGAAAAGTGAAATGGTACGATTTGCTTATCGGTAGAGAAGAGAAAAATGGCGAGAAAAGTGAAATGGTACGATTTGCTTATCGATAGAGAAGAGAAAAATGGCGAGAAAAGTGAAATGGTACGTTTTGCTTATCGGTAGAGAAGAGAAAAATGGTGAGAAAAATGAATCAGTACGATTTGGTTATCTGTACATGAGAGAAAAATGGTGAGATAAGTGAATCAGTACGATTTGGTTATCTATGGATGAGAGAAAAATGGTGAGAAAAGTGAATTGACTTGATTTGCTTATCTGTAGATGAAAGGAAAGTGGTGAGAAAAGTGAATCGGCACGATTTGGGGATGATACGAAACAAATTTTCGGTAGTCGTTATTTCTGTAGTCTTATCATTTCCCGTTGATGAGCTACACCATTAATTGTTCATGATCAGCTATATATGCTGAGAGTGGTTTTCTTCTCTTGTCATATCTATTCTACGTGGATTCAACAAAGAATTGACAAAAGATAGTCGACAAAGTTGGAGTTGCAAAAGGACCCCCTTAAGGCAGAGATTCCTGAAAGCCAACCAACAAATTCGATATTGTAAGTGAGGAGCCTCCAAGATTAAAGTTTATGCAAGACTGTTGACAAATTTGGGGTTGCGGCTGTGTCTGTGTCGTACTTAAAGACAAAGATCTAAGGAATACAGTGTACGAATGTACAGTCGCTCGAAGGTAGTTTTCAGGCAAGAATGTATGAAAGACAGTTTACGAATTTGGGCTTGCAAAAGGGTAGCACTTCAAGGCAAAGATCTATTCCAGGCGAGTTACAAATTCGGGGTTGCAGGTTGCAGGAAGGTAGGTCATAAGGGAGATCACTGGAAGATGGTTCACGAATTTCGGGGTTGCAGGTTAATGGAGGAGGGTAGGTTGTAAGGAAGAACTCACCGGAAGAAGGTTTACGAATTTTGGGGTTGCAGGTTGCAGGAGAAGGTTAGGTTTTAAAGAAGAGATCACCGGAAGTTCGTCAAGGAATTTTGTGTTGCAAGACAGTAACTCTAGTGGCAGGAGTCAATCACAGACATGTTGCAAATGTAGTTGCAATAAGGTGTTTTTGAACGTGGTTTTCGATAGGGTTTGAACGGAACATTCCAGAGCCAAGCGGAGATTGGGTCTAAACCGCGAGAATTTTTTGTTGCGATGGCAGCAGTGAAGCTCAAATTCAAGTGCAGAGGATTGAGGTTTGCAGGGTCTATCAAGGCTGTAAGTAGTGACACGGTGGAGGTAAAATACGAGATATGGAAAAAAAAATTACGATAAAATCCGAAATAAGGCTCTGCGTCACCGATCAAAAAAAAATTCGTGACCAAAAGCAGATATTAGGGGGCGTTCTTCACGCGCACTATCACGTACACCGGGTTTGGCGCGTGTCGCGCGTGCCGAATTGCGCGAGCCGGGTCGATCGGAACTTGGATGGGAAGTGCAGCGCAGCGTTTATAGAACACTCCCTATTTACAATAGATAAACCTAGAGGAGAGATAACGAAAATTAGTTTCGCGCCATGACTCAGGCCGCTTCGAGGCACCTCTCAGCCGGGGCACTTCAATATGCATGGGTTTCGTGTCTCGTTCCACCAATCGCTGTTTTGCCGTAATCCTGGTGATAGAAAAAAATGGGACCACGCAAGGGGTTTGGCGGGAAAATCTTGAAAAAAAGGGAAAAACTCTTAGGATAGTGGAGAGGGAGAAGGGGTGAATCTCATGGGCGGATACTCCTCCTGGCGGCGGCTGGCGGTACTGAAAAAAAAATTCACGGCGTTTTTATACCAAGGTCTGTTGGTACATTTACCATCTCACTTTTTTGTAACCAATTATTGGTAATTTTACTAAGACAGACCGGTAAGTTTACCTAAAAACCGGTAATTTTACTGTTTTTTTTTTTCAGGTAAGAATACCACTTTTATTGGTAATCAATTCCCGGTAACTTTGCCATTATCTCGGTAATTCTACCACAGCCGATAAAAAATATTCGCGTTTTTACCAAGGTCCAGTAAAATTACCGAGAAAGTTCAATAATTCTACCTAATTCCATAACTAGTAATTTTACCAAGAAAAAACTGGGATCATATAGAACCCTGAATTCTTGGCAATTTTACCCTTTTCTTAGTAATAATACACCGAGATTTTTTTTCCGTGTACTGGCGGTCTCCCAAAAAGGATGCGATCAGGGTTGCACTCGTGAAATGAAAAATATGAAAGGTTGGACATTTCCGTGAAATATTTCATGAAATTTCACGAGGCTGTGAAGTATTTTTAAATATTTTTCAAAGGGTAGTGTGTACAACCCGCATTAAGGCGCACATAAATAGAAGGAAGTCACAATTTTCATATTTTGCGAGACATGAAGAGGAGCCGGTGTTTTTCAAGATCTTTCATAAATTTCTGAAATTTCATGAAATATTTCATGTGAAATGAAAGGATTTTATTTTTCATGAAAAATTGCAACCATGGATGCGGTCGTTTGCAATCGCTTAATACCTCTTGAGATTGAGACTAGACCTCCGTGCGCAAGTAGGAGTGAGCGCGACAAGTTGCGATTTGATCGGAGAATGTATCGAGATTTTATCAACGTAGATTTATCCCAATATCATCAGAGTAAATTGCGATGTCATCACATAAACTTGCAAAAAAATCGCAATTTTAGCGACGGCGATTTATCGAAATATTGTCGGACAAAAAGTCATGTTAATCAATAAACGCGACTTCATTGAGATAAAATTGCGACAAGATCGAGGATAATCGCACTCAGACGTTGATGAGCTCAGCGGTCTCATTTCCGACAAATCGCAACCCAACTTCAAAATATCGCGTTTTTTCCACTTGAAAATGCTAATTTCGGGAAGAGTGGCCCTTGCTCAAGGATTTTTCTTGACTTCTTTCAATTGAATTGTAAAATTTGTGACACATATGAACGTATGTAAAACAATCGATTAATGAATCAAGGCTGCTCGCCTCATCGAAAAAAAAATCGATTTTTTCAATGATTTAAATACAGGAAAACATAGCACTTAAATCTCGTTATAGTAGCCATTGGCTCGCGGTCACATTACTCATAATAGTAGGTATCTTGGCCACCGTGGTTTTCGCAGTTACAGACCCGCATAATTATGTTTTCGAGTGTTTCCACTATACTGCCGTGCTAAGGAAAACCCCCGTATGAACCTTCAGGCGTTGCCAAACCTTTGGTAAAATCACGAATTTTCGGTAAAATTTTTAAATAGTTTTCCTCCAATTTTTCAGATAAATTTGTTCGCAATTTCACCTAAAGTTCCCGAAAATTTCAAATAAAAATATTCATAACTTTCTTCGAAAACAATTATTTTCTGAGAGGAAATTTGGCAACTCACGAATGTTCACACGGTGTTCTTCCTTAGCACGGCAGTATAAATGAACTCAATTTTGTGAGAGCAGACTGCTCAGCTCAGGTGCTTACATCGAAGAGACACGATCCATAGGAAAGACGGCCACACGCTACTTGAATGCAGCCGTTCTGTGAAAGCAGAAATCCTCGATCTCACTGATTGTGAGCGTGTGATGATTGCAGCGTCGAAATTAACGCCTGCACCCTGCATGCAACTTTTACTACTTTGTTGATATGCGCGTTGCATATAGTTATAATTGAAGGAATTTTGACTTTCCTCATGCTCATACCCAAGTATCAGTGATCGGGATATGACCTGATCGGAGGACGTATCGCGATTTTATCGCCGGCGATTTATCGCAATTTTATCGGATAAAAAATTGCGATAAATCGGCATTTTGCAATAAAATCGCCATTTTATCGATGACGATTTATCGCAATATTATTGAACAAAAAATCGCGATAGATTGAGATAAAGTTTCGATTTTATAAAGCGCGATTTTATAGAGATAAAATTGCAACAAGGTTGAGCAGGATTTACCTACTTTGCCGCCCATGGGCCGCCTGTATTTTGCCGCCCTCTTCTCACTTGTTTTGAAACATCAATAAAAACCATGAATCCGGAGGGGGAGTAGTGGATAAGACGCGTTTACTCGTGTCGGACACATTTTTTGCAAAAGCCCTGTCAACACTACTAGCAAAAGTTCACGGAACTTTGCGCGAAAGGTAAGTTCCGTAAATCGATCTCTGTGTGGACAAGGCCTTCCATTTGTAAGAATTGAACGGAAAAAGTATAAAAAAACAAACATATGTGGTATAATCATTTTAACTTCCGCGGCCGCGCTGACCGCACTGTGTTTGACGCAATGCGTGAAGTATTCATGCAGTCTCGTAGGCGCTGTGCGTTTCACGCCGACCGCTGCTGACTGCTCTGTATTTGACGCAATGCGTGAAGTATTCATGCAGTCTTGCAGGCACTGATACGCGTTTCATGTCGATCGCCGCGCCGAGGGCTTCTCCTTTTCATCTCAAGTCCTCGTCATCATTGCTCTCTGCGCCGCGCCGCTCCAGGCCAAAATGCGTGTTTGGTTTCTCTTTTAACTCGGCTAATTAAAGGTGCTGTCTCTTGTATCACCGAAAGACGACAAAGAAATTACTATACTCTCAGGAAACGAGAGATTTTGTCGCCTTTTCTCGTTTGTATTTTTTTCTGAATCTGCTTTTTTAATAGGTATACCTAAATTTAAAAAAATTGCAAAATTTGCCGCCATGAGCCACGGCCCATGTGGCCACCCCCTAAATCCGGCCCTGTGGTTGAGGCTAATCGCTCACATGTTGATGATCCTAGCGATTGTATCGCCAAAAAATCGTAAAATAATCGAACCTTAATTTCAAAGTATCGCAATTTTTCCGTTGAAAAGTGCTACTTGGGTAGTACGCATGGGAAGCTGTTCGAAGCCATCGCCATTGAAAAGATAAGCGTGGCTGCATTGCAAGGGCTGTTTAAGTGATCCTTAATCCTTCCAGGCCAGGGCTTTAGTATAGTAGTTGCATAGCGGTTGATGTTACTTAATTAAGTCCAAAACTTTGCGTTTTCCACCAAAAGAGGACGAACCAAAAACGTGAGAGAACGCTTGAGCGTAATACACCGAAAAGAGTCAAAAAAGACAAGTAAGGGATGGAAAAGAATTTTAATCAGAAGCAAGCAGATTTTAACGTACATAAATAAATGTACATAAAAGTTGCTCACACGCCGCACTCTTGCCAGAGGGTGTCTACAAGTGCGGAAATAGTACTGATTTTTTAAGGGTGGTTCGGAAATAATGAACAATTCCTCAAAAAGGTCCGGAATTTTTTTCTTATTTTGTCATTTTTGTCGCCATTTGAGCGAGAAATTGAAATTTTTCGAACTTCGTCAATTGGAGGTACTGAAAAAGTACTGAAGAAGTACTGATTTCTGGTCAGTCTGTTTTCGTAGACACCCTGCTGGCGTCCTGTGACACCCAGACTTTGACCCAGAGATCAGATTTATAACCTGTTGAAACAGTTGGATCGCTAACTTCCGGAAACCGCGTATCTCAGTTGTCAACCTTGCAGATTTATGTACCGCCGTACTTTATTTTTTAATTAAAAAATTGATTTACGTAATTTCTTATACTTTCTTGTGATTTCCTTTCTCCGTTTGAAGAATACTCAAAAATATTTTAAAGCAGACTGATTGTAAGTAGTAATGATAGGTGAAAATGTAATGTGAATTAGGGCTTGGAGGCCAAGGCGCATAAGTGCATTTTTTTTTTAAAAAAAAATTGAGATATTAATGATTTCAAGTAAAACTAGTCTTGATGCACCGTCTGTGAAAAATTCGCCCCCAAATGCCAATTTTTAAGCATTAAAAAGTTAGTTTGAACTTTCTTTCCGCTGTAACGATCCATGTAATTTCGAAACTTCAAACACGTACTTCTCGAAATAGCAAAAACTGCACTTATGGGCCTTTGTTTCGCAAGCCCCTCAGTTTTTCTCGTCCTTCTTTTGAAAAATAAAACAGGAAACTATTATTATTTTCTTTTTTATTTTACACATTTTGGACACGAGTACCAGATTGGTCATGTAATTACAGGTCTTTAATAGATTTAATTGACAGTGAGAAGAAACAGATACATTCTGTGAAAAAACTAACTAAGTAAGACAGCTTTGAATTACATATATTTACAAAGCATACTTTTGATCAGTGATCAGTTAGGTTTTCAGCAAAGTTCAGGGGGCATTTAAAAATTCATCCAAGTTATAGAAAGTCAGGGAAATTTCAAATTTCAAGAGATCTTACTCTAGGCACGTGGTTTCCAAATTAACTTCGTCGATCGACTACAGTAGTCTGGTAAAGATCTTTTTTGTGGCCAGATCCTGTTCTAATAGGTACCCATCCCTTATTTTTACTTTTTTTATTTCATTTTTTTTTCAAAGGTTTATTTTTACGTACCTATACGCAACGGCTATTATCTTTCTTCTCGAATAGCATTTTGTAACAAAAGCATTTAAATGAAGTCACAATTTGGTCACAACTTTTTAAGCACTTCAATTTTTACCGCTTTCAACCGTTGTTGTATGTACCGCGACCGATTTTGAACAATCTCATCAGGCAAACGCAAAGATACGCAATCCCCAATGGAACTAAAAAATTATCTCATTGTCAGTTCAGTTAAATTGCAATTAACGCTCATAGGAGCTCCTTCAATTAGGGGATTCGGCAACATGCACAACAGCTGGATGTTGCAGGCAGGTATAGTTTAACCTACCGTGTAAGGATTTGCGATTATTTGATACCTGTGCTACTTGGGGTTGGCTAAAAGCTCTGTGTTTGTTCAGTGTTTTACAAGGATACTTATTGAACTTTTGATTTCTTGTCTTTTTCAGATACATCTTTCCCAAATTTCATCTGTGCTGGACGATATTTTTAAACCTAAAAGTTCGTGTCCCATGTGAGACTGAATCATACATCTTGGCAAACTACGGTCCTAATTGGATGGAACCAATTAAGCAGTGGGATTGGAAGTCCAGTCCATTCAACGTCCAAGGAGCAGGGGTCTGGGCTGAATCACTACGGAAACAAGCGATACAAGTATTTTGAATCACTCTTTTCCGTTTTTACTGGTACCTGGATAAAGTTCTACCGAAGAAGTTTTACTTACTTGCCCACGGGTATTGTGACAGAGTCACAGAAAAGTTTTTTTGATCGGAAAGATAATAGCCTTATGAGTATATGTTACCTGTTGCTCTTGGAAAACCAGAGATTTTTTGACCATGATAGGAAGTACTTTACAATCTGAATTAATTAAGTTTCACTTTGTTGAGAAAATTGTTTTCTCCCCTCTTGTTAACCCCCTAAATATTCTAAGAGCAACACATTGATTTTCTCTCGCCTTTTTGCTGTGCCATTTAACTGCTGTGCTAAGGAAGATGGTCCTATGAGCCTTCAGACGTCGTCAATTTCCTTTGATAAAATACAAATCCTTAGGGTAATCTGTGATTATTTTTCCTTCAATTGTTCAGATTATTAATTGCAGTCTGATCTAAATTATCGGAAAATCTCCAGAGAAAATATTCATGACTGTCCTCAAAAGAAAAATTTTATTGGAGGGAATTTGGCAACTCTCGAATGTTTTGCAGTGTTTTTCTTTAACAGTTAATGAGGACCACTTTTCCCGTATCTTGTCTCCTCTATCCCCACTTTTACAAAGTGATTCCTCTTAGAATCAATCGCAATTTTCTCAGACTTGTTTGAATTATTTCCACACACATGAAATAATTGGCCCTTGGAAGTTATAGCTTATTTGAAAAAGACAACTTCAGTACGAAAGACTATGTTAACTGACTTTGTATGATTAATTTGAATTGGAGAGGAAAGTATGAGGACATTTTCAAATCGTACCTCCCGAAAAATTACAAACTCATGAAAATAGCCCGAAGGAAGTTGTGATGATCATTCTCATCAAAAAGTTACATTGGAAATGCCAATTGGCTGGCTGATACAATTCAATCATGATTAAATAATGAGTTAATACTGGAGTTTTTTCACCTTTATTTCACTCTCAATTGATCGTGAATCATAGAGTTCATTTGAAATTTTGTTTATGAAATATGGCTTTTTTAATATTTCATCATTTCTATTTTTAACCCATTTACGTACTTTGAGGAGTATACTTGTCAACGTAAACAAATGGATTAAAAAGTTATTGTAGTTCATCACTTAAACTGAGTCGATAAAATCAGGGTAAAACTTTAAATGAGAATGCATCAATCCTGGTTTCGATGACCTGACCACATGAGTTTAAAGCTGAAGGCGTCCAAAATTTTTTGTAGTTCATAATTTGTAAAAATGTTACCTAGATTAAGCAATGATGTACATCCGCATCATTGAACTTGTTCTCATAATGTTCATTGTGAAATCTCAAACAAATAAAAAGACAACTTCGAAATTTTCTTTTTAAGCTATTAAGAAGTTTTAATAATGGTCGATCAACATATTTTGTTACTCAAAGAGACACTTAATTACAAAAATTATCACACGCTGTATATCACAAGCAAAATCAGTTCAAAAGTTGTAATACATTAGAAAATAAAGACACATTCAAGGTGGGATCTTAAGTCTTGGGACGAATATGGTTGTAAAAAAAAGTTATGTTTTACTTTATTTCACGGAAAACCTTAAATGGAGACTGAAAGAAAACAACTGAGACTAATTTTTTCAAAACTAATTTCTCATTTTTTCCATGAAAGACTGTATGTTTTTTTCTCATAGGGTTCAATTTTAAAAAATTAAGCACTTTTAAAATGATCTAAGTCTACATTATGCAATCAATAGCGACTTATTTATAGAAAATTACATGAAAATACATGCCGTGAAAGGGCAGAAACGAAAAAAAATTATCAGTCATCAGAAATACCTTTCAATAAATTGAAAAGTTAATACAGTAAATTTTGTGTTACATAAGTTTTTACATTAAAGGGAGACCTCAACTTCTAAAAATAAGAGCTAGCAAGCGCAGGAATATTTTTTAATATTTTTTAAATTTGTTCGAAAGGAATGTAGTGGAAAGTTTTTTTTTTTTTTTTGGCACTGCTTTCTCCTCATATGCAGACTCAATTGCTAGCTCAGGATTCAAGAAAAAACAGAAATTTTGCTGTAGCTTTACAACCATTTGGACTACATTTTGCAATCCAGAACTATAATTTCTGGCTCATCTGTAAGAACACTTACGTACACATGTTGGGAAACGAATACCTATTACTTATGTTGCTCCTAAATTGAGCTGGAAATTTTAGTTCCTAATTGCAAAATTTAGTCCATTTATTGCACCAACTCCTACCCCAGGAAGTCTCCGTAGAGTGTAAAAGCATCTCTCTAACCCTCAACTGGATTTTGCCACCTTTCTTTCACTAATAGTCAGCTGTTTATGCAAGCAACTTTCAGTTCGGAATTGCTGCTGACTTCCAAAAACAGTGCTAAATTCTAGTCTAATAAGAATAAGTGGTATTTTCTGTCAATCATAGTGAGCATGTATCATTTATCAGTGAAAAGTTAATCATCAATCCAGACCTATGCTGTTTATATTCGTCAATTAGCAAGAAAATTGAAAATGAGGAAACTCCACCGTGAAAAATGGTTGAAAAATTAAAACAGGAAGTGCTAAAATGGTAAACTTTGAGTCTACATCCTACTAGCAATAGCATTTTAAAATATTCTTTAAAAACTCCTAAAGAAACTATCAACATTTTTGTACTAAGAAACCCTTTTTGGCTATTTTTTTGAAAAATAAAATTTACAAAAAATAAAATTTAAGTAAACTTCAAGGAAAAAAATGTTAAAAAAACTCTGGAATATTATTGTAATTTTTTAACATATTTTCAAATCATTTTTAGCGTTGAAAAACCACATTGATATTTTAAGAATTTTTCACCACTTTTTTTCCTTAAATTTCATCAGTCGAAGATTTTTAACAGTCGTTGCTACTAGGGCAGGCTCCGTGCTGCTAAAAGACCCAACGAAATGGCACCTATCTCACCCTTGGTAGCTGTATGGCCCTGGGCTATAAGTTCTTAAGGGATGAATGTCAGTGACATTCGATGGCTGAAATCAGATAGCACGAATCTTAAATAACAAAGTTCTAAGTCTCCAATTATGTTTTCTTTTTTTTAAAAATGAAAACTAACCAAAAAATTCTATCAAAAGTTTCGGTGAATTTTTTTCACTCATTCTAAGAAAACACATAAAATTGCAAGGACAATTTTTGATTAGGTACTTGTCCTTAAAGAAAATGGAAAATAATTAGGGATTTCTAAACATTATGATTGAGATTCGCATTTAACTATCGAAATATGATCATGAAGCTATAGCAAAATTTTAATTTTTGTCAGGTCCTCAAAAAGTATGAAAACTTTAAAAGAGCATTCTGAATGTTATTGCAATTGAGTAGAGAGTAAATTGAACTAGGAGAGGAATCAAGTTAACATTAAGGCATTAAGAGAGATATTTCAGACTTTTGCAATGCTTAGTTAGCAAAGTTATCCACTAGAGGTTGAATTTGAGTCATGTAAATTGATTTCTCCTTCATAGCCGTTATCAGGGAAAGACCGCAAATAAGTTATGTACTCGGCAGGTAATTTGCTTTCTATGGCTCCATCGATGATTGTTCGGAGATAAATTTTTGATGGCCGCCGCTCATCAGGAAACTTCTCTCCCTCCGGTACTGGTGGGGGGAGATCACAAAGTTGGTAGCTTCGACTCTCAACACTGGTTCCCTCTGGCGTTTGCACAGAGACTTTGATTACCTCGTAAACATGGGTATCCACGCCTTCTTGCCTGAATAAGAAAAATAATTCCAGTTTTGTAACCCACTCAGTTTTTTTATTAATAAATAAAACTCCTGGATATCCTAGTGCTCAGCATCTTTTGAGAGTTACGAAGTAACATACAACTCTGTCAATTGACTGATTTAGTGTTTACTTCATTCGATATTGTACAATATAATACACTGCTTTGATATCAATCACTTTGTTGCGCTTTCTAAGGGCGGCAAAATTTAATGGAGAGCTATTTTGAATGACGTAGCCACTAAATCAGTCTTTGGAAACAACATTGCTTCTGCAGGCTTGAAAAACAAAAATTAAAATATTTTCAAGTACATTTTCACTTAAAGGAAAAGATGGACGTTTCCACAGATAAATTTAAAAATTTTAATGTACCTTTTTACATGAGCTTCTTGACACAGAAGAAATAGGCGAAAGTAAATCTCAAAGGTGGCAAAGGCCTTTCGGCATCCTAGTTGATTCAGAGATGCCTCACATTTGAGCATTAGATCCCCAAAAAGTCTGCTAAATTAGAGGCTTTGATCACTGTTTTAAACGTTTCATGTAAAGGTTTCATCTTTTCCTACAGAAATTTCAAGTATACTTTGTCAATTTTTCATAATTCAAGAGACAGAGGGAAAATCATGTATATTCAAGTATTTTCAAGCACAGGCACAAACCATGAAGAAAAAATGAGAGAAACTACGAAAAATTCACAATGAAAAAAAAAAAAACAAATAAATCCAAAAAATTTTAAAGTCAGATCTTCCGTTTCATCTGAGGAAGCTGTAAAATGTGAAATGCAGAAAAAATCAGATCAGTCGCTAAGAATATTTCCCTGCATCTTTCAACATCGGGGTAAGGAACTTTGCATCCCTTATTAATTGAGACAGGCATTGATAAGAACAGGAGTTTTCAGTTTTCCGGCAAAATCGAACCATTGATGTTTATCTCTCCCGCAAATCCGTTATCTGGAAATGACTTCAAGAACATTATGTACTCTTCAGGGAGCTGACTTTCTTCAGCTCCTTCAATGATTGTTCCGAGATAAATTTTTAATGGTCGTCGTTCCTCAGGGAACGTTTCTCCTTGTGGCACAGGTGGTGGGAGGTCACAAAGTTGGTAGGCTCGACTCTCAACGCGGGTGCCATCAGGAGTTTTAACGGACACTTTGATAACTTCGTATATGTGAGAGTCAACGCCCTCCTGCCTGAAGAAGTGAAAAAAAAAAGACCTGCAACCGTTCTTGTGAAAGACAAAATTGATATGAGAAATTTTAAGATGCAAGCAACCCTTGTGACCTCTAATTGTGATTATCCATGAGAAGATGAACCTTGGTGCCTCGGGAGGACTTTTAAAGAAAAGCAATTTCTGTCTTGTTGGGTCGAGAGTCAAAATGGGAGTTTTTGTGGGTATACATTCTCTAATTTCCTAGAGGGTTAGTTACCAGTGGCTCAGCTTATTTAAGGCCTGTCACAAAATGTAAAATTTTATTTTTATCACATTATTCTAAGCCCGAAAGCAGCAGGTCAAAACTTGAAACAGTTTGTTTGTTTGTTTTTTTTTTTCCAAAACTATTCCTGATGGATGCTTTTCATTCTTTTCATTTAATATAGTGTTAAGAGGAACTTTTTGAAAATGAATTAAATAGAAAAGAACCCTGTGAAAAGCAAATCCTCTCCACACAGTTCCTTGAATTTACTTCATTTTCACAAAACTACATTTGACATACATAAATAGGTCCAAATTATGCAGACTTTTTCAGTTTTCTAAAGAGAAAAAGTCACTTGCATGTTTACTAATCTTTTTAAAACTTAGGTGTCATACACAATTTTTTTGAGGCATTATAGCCCGTTTTAGATTACTTTTCCTCTTTTGTTGTATCTATGTAATTCCCTATCCAGCGCATACAACAAAAGAGGGAACACAATCTGAAACGGGCTCTGGCATTATATACTGATGTCTCTCAGTTTGTACGGACAAAGTTTTACAGATGATTACTTTCTACTACGGCTAGAGATTTAGCTTTCAAAAATTGAAATTAGGTATTCACGCTCTTTCTACATCAGAAACTTATGCCTCTCCAGTTCCTTTTTTTGCAATCTACGTCTGTCGTTTAAGCAGGTGGCTTATTGGTTGTATGTTTTACCTGCCAAGGTAGTAAGAATTTACATGATAGCAAACAGAGACTGCAGTTTGTACTACAACACAGAATTATTACAGTCCGACCGCTAAATCAGTACGGAGGTCTAATCCTTTGCAATGTGACGACAATAATACTTACTTGTCAAGGGCTGCCATATTTTCATTCCCAATTTCCCATAGTGCACCATAGACATGCTTTCCCTCATCTGGCACAACTGTTGCTGCACAGCCTTTCCAACGGTGAGAGTAGTAGTTGAAGTCCAACCGATAATTCTGAATGAAAGAAGAATTGCATCATTATAATTTACAAATTGTAATGTTCTTACAAGAGAGAGATTTATGAAAAATTAATGAAATTCTTAGTGTGCAAAAAAACTTAATATCTGATAGTCAGCTCTTTATATACATAATATGTTTGGATGACATAGGTACAATATTTTTGCATTAAATTCCGAATGAATATTTTGAAAAGGCTGGAAACGTCATTCAAATAAGTAATTGTTGAAGAATGGAGCTCTATAGATTTTCTTTCTTTGAATAAGACAAGGCAGAAATGTGTATGTAAGTTAATTTTGCTCATTTTCAGTGGCAGTAGCTGTTGAAAAAGTTAAAAAACTTGTAAGTTTATAGGAAAAACTCTTAAAAAAAGTATTAGATAGGAGTTTTTAATGTGTTTTTAATTCCACTGTGCACTCTTCAAAGTTTTTATATCACTCTATTTTGGTGAATTTTAACATCAATTGTCCTTTACAGTTTAGTTTCTCGTAGTGAGTACTCAGTACTTTACTTTGTGTTTAACATCAATATGACTGATTTTTAGAATTTAACATTTTGATGCTAATTTTTTTCATGACTTATTTAAATTAAATTTAACATAAACTTTACTTTGAGAGAGCAAAAAGGGTTTCCTAACTTAAAATTTTTTAAAAAAAATGTTTCATTTTTAAAGTTCAAATTTAACGGTTGATGCCACAAGAATCACATACTTTAATACCAGGGTTTCAAAAGTTCCGCAGCTTTTTTATTTATTTTTTCAGAACAATTCAACCCAATTCCTAGAAATTTTCATGAAAATCTTTCAAATGAAGAGTAAAAATCTTGACAATTGTCAAGTGATTACATTGATCACTTCTTCAGAAGAAAAGTAAAATACTCAAGTTATTAGTAAAGTCATGCAACAAGATGCGTGGTTTTTGAGTCGGTAGCCACCCATAAATCGATCACTCGATATAACCCCGGACTCGTAAGAAAAATACATACCTCCAATTTAGCGATGCCCTTCCGAACAGCAGTTGGATTGTTGATATGAATTCTCTTGGTGAGTAGATTGCTTCCATAGGCGAAATACAAAAAAGTCCCCGACATGGCAGAATCAAGGCTTGCACAATAGGGACCACTGATCAAAGAAACAAGAAAACAACATATTATCAACCAGGAATTCATGGTAGAAGATTTGTTATTATACTATTCCAACAAAAACTTCTTCAGCTGCAGTAAGTTTTGTGCTCCCAGAGAGAGCTGAGTGACACACACTTAGTAAATGAATATTAGTCAGAGCTTGCAAGGAGCTGTGGGTAGGATAAAATAGGTCAAGCGGGTCAAGCAGATGCCTACTTGGTTACTATCCCACTCATTTGATAATCACCTGACTTCTGATTCTAGAGATATTGGCAACAATCCAATTTTCAATGAAAAGAATTTACAGCCACTAGGTAAACATGTCCATAGTATTTTCCTCTATAATATAAGGAGTGGAGTGAGTTGGCTTTTAAACGATCGATGAGCAATGACTTGATGTAACTGAATAAGTCAAACAATCTTTTAAAATTGGTACGAAGCAGAAAATCTTTTAGGTATAGTAGTGTGTATAAATAAGCAAGTTTATAAAAGGAAACTGTTACTGGAGGTTACAAAATAATTTTTAGAATGACATACTTACGATACTTAAATTACCAAAAAATAGATAAGGTAGGAATTTTTTTCTAAAATTAGGAGTTTCAATAATTAAAAAAATTATAAAAATTCAATTTTTGTGTATTTCAGCATGAAAATAAAATACTAGGATATAAAGGAGGAGCTTCCGGCTAGGTTTTCTTTGATTTTTTGACAGTTTCTCTAAATTACGATTTATGTAGTACTCACCTAGGTGAATGAAAAAAAAGAAATTAATTTAAATTGGAGATATTTGACATTCATTGCCATACACCCCAGCTGCCGACTACTTCAGTTCATTCCTTTTGAAGGGGATGATAATTTTTTCAACCCTCGTAATAGGGCGTTTCACTCAGGGGCGAAGGCCAAAACCATTCAAGATCCCCCCCCCCCCCCCCNTTATCCCTAAAAATACACGAGGATGCTGTTAATGTTATAGTTATTCACCATTCAAAGTCAAACTGACTATTTTATTTTTAGTCCGTGCCTCCAATAAATCATTTTTGCTTCAAAGTCCCATACGACACCTTAGCAAGAATTTTACTTAACAATCGCCTTCAATTACATTCTAAGCAATTTCTGTTACACGTGAGCACGTGACTATAACAAGAAAGTGAGCAGGAGCAAACTTCCACCATACGCTCATAGGTATCGCTGTTGTCAGTCGGCGAAAAAAGGCGCCAATTTCAAATCATGTTCCAACTCAAAGCGTGAGTTTAAAGGCGCCTCTGTTAAAATATTTCTGAATTACGAGTGAAATCACGCAGGTAATCTTTACATTAGAATGAAAAAAATTAAGGAGACAATCGTCAAATGTTCCTCCAATTTGTAGGAATCCAATAGGAATGGATTAATGCTGGTTGTGGGCGATTGCTGTTTCGTTTCTCACAAGATTATATGTTTCATTGGGCATAACCTCGTGAAGCAACTGGGAAAGAATACAAAATTGAGTGTGGAAATAAAAATGTTGGGAAGCACATTGGTAGGCAGTGAAGGGCCCAAAAATACTTGCCTTTCACGAGGCAAGTGGAAAAAGAAAATGTGGCATCGACCAAAAGTGACAAATGCTCTACACTTTTAGAGCCTTAACAAAAGCACGCGCAAGACATGAAAAACATTAGACTTTGCCTGGACTTTGCAGTCTCACAATTTATAGAGACAAAATAGCAACGAGGATTTTAAGAATTCGAAGAATCTAGAAAAATGACGAAATATCAAGAGTAACCACACGGCGGAGGTAGGTACTCATAGGTGCTAGATTACTTACCACAGTTGTGAAACTGCAACCAGAATAATTACCACACTGTACAGATTGGATTATAACAGATTGAAAAAACCCTTGATTTTATGTGCAGCAGAACTTAGCAATTCCACTCGAAATTTATCTGGGGAAAAAAAAATTAAAACCTTATCAGAAGAAACCGTTATCACAAGTCACGGGCATGTAAACAATAACAATGTTACCTAACCTCAAAGAGGAATTGAGCGTGCACGTGCGTTTTGAAAGTCGTTCATAATGTGTACATCATTCTCTTCTTCCAGTACTAATTATTTTCAGTGTTTACCGACGTGTTCATTTCATTTTTATCAATAAAATTGTAACTAGTAAAAATCAAAGAAACTCTGAGTGATTTTTCCTAGTTTTTCCATGCATATCACTAGTTTTATTCTCCCTTTTGTCTGAGGTCTTTGCAACACCCAGCTCTCATATTTTGGTGTTAATAGTAACTTACCTAGGCATCTTTCAATAATCATGTCTACCTCTAAGGATGTCTCATCCTCTGAAGTTAAGGGAGGTGAAGTCAATGCTGCCAAAAGTGCCGTTTTCGTCTCCAGTTCTAGCATGCCGAATGACACTCCAATAGTGACAGGTAAAGAATCTAGCTCTTTCGTTGGTGCTAATCTCCGCTTTATCATCTACTTATTAATAATCTTACGTTTCTGCTCTAAAGAGCAGGATGGCCTCTGACAGTGCTATCTGCACCTTTTTTATTGAATGGGCGCCAACAGTTAGATCCTTGATTCTTCGAGGTAAGACTCTCTTGCAAGTATCAAATCTCAACGTAGATCTCAGCATAAGGACAGCAAAACTACCATCTGGTAGTTTTGGTCTGGACCATGTATCTTGGTTTGCGACGTCCTAGACTTCCTGTCCATACTTTTTTTTTTAAAACCTAAAGCTCTTTAACATCAATTCTTGAAAACTACTGTGATTTTTCTTCTCAGTGTGAAGAGAAATCTGTAAAAATTGCAAGGAGCATTATTGATTTGTTCTCGTTCAAGAAAATAAAATGGGAGTGGAGATTTTTAAACACTGCAAACGAGATTTGTGGTCTGGTAGTCTTATCGTCGATATACGTTTTGTGTTTGTCTACAGTTGTCCTCAAGGGTGATGGTAGCTGATTGTTTTTGATGGTTTTGCATAATTGCCAATTTACTCCATTGATGCAGAATCTTCCAAGCTTCCACATTTTCACGTGCCCGTCTGCAGGCACTCCACATTTTTTTTCATCGGTTTTCCACAATATTTCCCACCAATTTGAAAAAAGATGACCTTTCTTCTGTTTTTCGTCGACTTTCAACTGATGACCCTTTAAAAGCTTCCCTTTTTCCACATTTTGGTGGCTTTTCCACATTTTCTTTCGCCTGGGCGCGTGATCGGGCATTTTCTCTACCCCTGATTACCGTAGCGTGGCCGCCACGCACAGAAAGTGGAAAAAAGTGAATAATATCAACTGGTCACTCGATAATTACAGCAGACTTACCCAGTGGCAGTTTTACACAGCAGTCTCTTATTTTTTTATTTTTGGATTGACAGTAGGTAACAATATCATAAATAATTTTTTAGTGATTATTTGCACATACTAAGCTGATAAGAGGTGGAGCTTTTCAAGCACCGCAAACGAGTTATGTGATTGCCGATTTACACTGTCGATATGTTTCTTTTTAATTATTTCTTATTTCCATAAATTCTGTGCCCAACAGGTTATTCTTGGGATAAAGGACTGGATTATGAGGGTCTTCTTGCAACCTACAAACATTGTGGATTTCAAGCAACAAATTTTGGCCTAGCAGTTGAGGAGATCAATAAAATGGTTTGTAAGTAGGTATTTAGAGTTCAGTGAAAGAATTGGAATGAAGTGTAACTTTTAAACTAATATTCTCATTATGTATGTATTGATAAGTGCTTTGACATTCTGTGTCTTTTTTCTTAGAGTTTCTCCAGGATTAGAGGCTTCTTTAGTTCGGAAAACTCTGAACATGAAGCTATCGGAGGCTTGAATAAGCACCAGTAACTTTTGTAATAAATGTGGATTTAAGTTTACGATTTCTTTGTTCTTTCATTTAGCTCACTGACCTAATTATGTAGTTTGCTGATATAGTTTACTCTTTTTTTTTAAACTTAATCAATCCAGTTTCTTAAATTGACAAAGATCTTTATGTTATCTCCATCATAACTGATTCTTCCTATCAGGGAGATTTTCAGCAAGTAGTACCTAATCACAAGAAATTAAAATTGATTTAATGTGTGTCATTAAAGTCTCTCAGATAAATAGGCACCCATTTTAGAAATACTGAAAAAATCAGAACTTTGATTTCTTCATTTTTCCGGTCCTGATGCATTGTAGGAACTAGTAATTTGTTGATTTTGTGTGTTAGTGGGCTGCCAAGAATTAATGAAACCTATTACTACAGTGAACATGCCCTTAAATCTCTTAAAAAGGTAATTGAGGAATCAACTGAAAATATTTTAAACAGAGCTAACTCAGTTCAGATACAGACTGCCAACCTCCTCACCTGAAGTTTTTTAGCCACTAGACAAAAGTCTGCCCCCCAGCCCACTATTAATGAGATACCATTTACCCAATGAAAGTAAAATGAATGTGTTGAGATAACCTCTTTATTTTTCCAGCTGGAGTGTCGAAGTAAACCCCTGCCGCCAGACAAAGAGACAGATGATGAAGAAGATGAGTTTATCCGTGTCCGCTCAAACTGTACCATATTTTTGGGTTATACCTCCAACATAGTTTCCTCAGGACTGCGGGACACAATACGTTATTTGGTGAAAAACCGTATGGTTGACTGTATTGTGACGACAGCTGGTGGAGTTGAGGAAGATTTCATTAAATGTTTAGCACCTACGTATATTGGATCATTCGATTTGGATGGCCGTAAACTAAGAGATGAAGGAATTAACCGAATAGGAAATCTCATGGTCCCTAATAGTAATTACTGTGCATTTGAAGACTGGATTGTTCCATTATTAGATGAAATGCTGGAAGAACAGAAGACAAAGGTAAAAGATAATTTTTTTACGGTTCAGTTATCTGTCCTATTTACCCGTTGTAAATCATGGTGAATCTTCAGATTTGTTGCAATGCATTTTGAGTGCAATCGGCATTTTTCAAACTTCGAACATGAAATGGTTTTTTTTAAAAAGCTAAAATGTTTATCTTTCAAGCAGTCTCTAAGGAATGTTAGTGCCAAAAATATGTTTCAAACCTAAGAACTAAGTTGAAAATATTGTTATTAGTTAACACATTGAGAATGATGGTGTTTTTTAGCAAACATAACTGAGAAACCGTCAGCTGAATCCTAGCCTACTCCGGAAAGTGATGTAACCATGAACTAGGTACTTTACCTTAAACCAGTCAGTCTCTGTCATAGGCAAGCACCAAAATTGAATGAAGTGCTTAAGTGACTGCTAACATCCATTTCTACCGTCAGTTAAGTCTCAGCACTTGATTTCACTAACTGTTGTTACTACTTTTTTTTTATTGCATGCCATATAGCTGTGGATTCATTTTTTTTTTCTTATGCCACTTAATGCACAAAAATGTTTCTTTGCTTTGTATTCTATGTCGCTGTACAGTACTAACTCAGTCAAACTAATTAAAGACATCGTTGAATTTTAAAGCCACGTTTCTTTCGAACAAAAGTTTAAAGGATAGCTAGTAAATAATATAATAGAGGTCAGAATAGTACTATATTTTAGTTTCATTGAAAATGTTCCTTCTGCAGTTTTACATTTGATTTTGAAGAATCCACTCGTACCCGTACTGCTTCACTAAGTGTTCAATCATTTGTATTTTTTCAGGATGTACTATGGACCCCTTCAAAAATGATAGCATGGCTTGGCTCGAAGATAAATAATGAAGAGTCTATCTACTACTGGGCATCTAAAAATAAAATACCTGTGTTTTGTCCGGCTTTAACTGACGGAAGCCTGGGAGATATGATGTTTTTCCACTCTTTTCGTAAACCTGGACTAATTTTGGATATCTTGTCTGGTAACAAATTTACTTTCATTCTCTTCTTTTATCTTTGATCTACAAGAGACAATAATAATTATCGTTATTATTGTTTCTACGTTTAATACATTTTAGGCTGTTTGAAGTGTGGCGTTTGGACCTTTCTTGTGTATGCCAGAGATTTTTTACTCCTGATGGGGTTTATGCGCTCCCTATAATGAGAAGGAAAAACATTACAAGCGCGAGCTTCAAGGTTTTAAAAGAACTGCTAGATCCAAAATATCTTGAAATGGATTTTTTATCATATTCATAGTAAACACATTAATTCGATTTGGCCGGGAAAATCATACCTTACGCTTTTTTTGAACAAGAAAGGGATTTATAATGACATTTAATGTGCTCAGATTTGAAAATTTCGCCCTGAAATATTTCAATTATTTAGTGCTAAATAATATTCTCTGTATGCTGTTGCAGATCTACGAAGGATCAATAGAATGGCAATGAAGGCTGTAAATTCTGGAATGATAATCATTGGAGGTGGAGTAATTAAACATCATATTTGTAATGCTAATCTTATGGTGAGTATTTTTTATTTAGGTATCCTTAGCCTAAAAAATGCACATAAAATCCAGGAATTTCACTGAATTTTTGTCTTCAAAATTTTCTGATGCACCAACTTAAGACTGAATATCATCATGACAGATTATGAACAATTTATAGAAAATCAGCTCTGACTCATGCAATATGTTCTTGACTAAACATGCATTAAATTCATTGATCTAAATTTTAGAACATCACATGCTTCATTGTACAATGGTGCCAATCGAGGCATTGCAATGAGACTCCTCATAAAAAAACTTGGTCTTGAGGAAAACACATTTGAAGTTCCCAGAATAGCATGATACAAAAAAGAATCAGTGCCTTGCAAACATCGCAACCATTTTGTCGGTAATCAAGACACGTACTCTTTAGAAGAGGTAAATGCTCGATGTTATGAAATTTTTATCTAAATACTATTTTGAAATAGCCTAAATGGAAGATAGTCTGAGAGTCCTTTCTACGTAAAACGGTGATTTCAGCCAACTTGATATCTCACTTAAAATAATTTTGTGAGGCAAATTCGATGAAGCAGTGCATAAAATTTGTCAAATGTCATCAAAGATTCTCTATTATCAGTATCTTATGGAGAGGAAGGCATAATGGCTACTTTGTGGATAGTCAGTCACGAGATCAGCTTATCAGCTCAGTTTTTTTAAAACATATTTTTGGCAAAGGAAAAAGAAAATTGGACGTCAATGACTTTCAAAAGAGCCGTGATTTTTGATTAATTTTTAACAGAGGAGAATATATAAAAATATTCAATTTTTCAGAGGAATGGTGCAGATTTCGCTGTTTTTGTGAATACGGCTTCAGAATTTGATGGAAGTGATAGTGGAGCGAGACCAGACGAGGCAATATCTTGGGGCAAAATCAAGAAGACTGCAGCACCTGTCAAGGCAAGTTTTTCAATGATTTATTCATTTTACGGTATCCTTGAAGTTGATGTATCATGTACAAATGATCTAATATCACTATGCTAAAACCACTGTAATCCATTTTCTTTTGGTAATTTTGAGTGATAGCTGCTAAAAAACTTGTGAAGAGCAGTTGCACCCAAGTAGGGAGGAAAAAATCAAATTAGAATGTAATTCTTTTTTACAGGAAGGACAGTAGTGGTTTTCTTGTAATTTTAAGTTTTTGAACTTGTAATGCAAGTAATTAAAATTTTTATGCTTTGAACCTGTTCACAGATCTATGCAGAAGCGTCTCTTGTTTTGCCATTACTTGTCATGGAAACTTTTGCTAAATTTTTAAACAAGAAATAAATTCTCTCACATTTAAAACATGCAAAAAAGAAGAAGGGAAAAAATATCTTTCTGGTGATATTACTCCATTACTTATGGTGAGAAATAGTTAACTATCCTACGTTTTACAATAAATTCACACAAATATAGCCGAATTTATTTCCTGAGCTATATTTGTAATCAGTACAATATTTAATACAGTTATTAGGTCAAATGCTGCTTTCTCTCAGCCATTGCAAATATTTCCCTAAGTAAACGATTATTGTACTCAGTTGCTCCTTATAAAATAGAGAAAGCTTTCTTTCCTTGTAAGACAAAGTGTAACGTTTGTATCACTCATTTTGAAAAAAAAATGAGGAAATATTAAATTTCAGAAGGTTTTTCCTTTCTTAAAAATTTCAAATTTTGTTGTTAGCAAATCGTCAAAAACAAAATATTCCAAAAAAACTGTCCTAAGCTGCTCTTAAAATTTTTCCAGTTATCAGGTGGCATTCCGAAAAATATAATTCTTTATAAATATTATCAAAGTTATCTTTTAATGATATTCTTTCCTGAAAAAAAAAAAAACAAAACAAAAAAAAAACCCGATATGAATACAATTTCTGCAAATATTATCTGAAGTCTGGAATGCAGGTAGCAAAGAAAAGAATGATACACCACATTAAAAATGAAAACTTAATAGGGTGCAAAACTTTTTGCAGTTATGACAAAGTAACTGGACCTCAACACTATCTAAAATGAATTTCCACGGAAAACATTAGGTTGGTAATAATTTTGTGATGCAATGAGAGGGAGGTATTGAAACAGAATTGTAAGCACCATAAATTTAAGAAAATGAAGATTTATTTTGGACGTTGTAAAATTGTCAGAAGTACTACAACTACAAGGAAATTTATATCACCCATTTTTCAGGCTATGGGCAAAGAATTTTTGAAACAATAAATATTTTACTTCATAATAAAGAATAAATTTTGAAAGGGTCGATCTAGATATGTTCCAAGTACATTTTTCAAATCAAAATATTAAGATAAAATTACTTTAAGAAACTGTAACAAAGAGTATAATTAGGGCTGTGCGAGCCTGGTTTTTTGGATTCGAGCCGAGTTCGAGTATTTTTTCACTAAGTCGAGCCGAGTTCGAGCTTTTTCGAGCTTTGAAAATGACCCTCGAGCCGAGTCGAGCTCGAGTCGAGTTCGAGTAATTTCGAGTTTTAAAACGTTATTTAATCTATTTTCTACAACAAATAATTTCAAACAAGACTCATANTAGGGTGCAAAACTGTTTGCAGTTATGACAAAGTAACTGAACCTCAACACTATCTAAAATGAATTTCCAAGGAAAATATTAGGTTGGTAATAATTTTGTGATGCAATGAGAGGGAGGTATTGAAACAGAATCATAAGCACCATAAATTTAAGAAAATACACATTTATTTTGAACGTTTTAAAATTGTCAGAAGTACCACTACTACAACAAAATTTTTATCACCCATCGTTCAGGCTATGGGCAAAGAACTTATGAAACAATAAATATTTTACTTTAGAATAAAGAATAAATTTTGTGAGGGTGGATCTAGATATATTCCAAGTAAATTTTTTAAATCAAAATATAAAAATTAAATTACTATAGGAAATTGTAACAAGGAGTATAATAACATGAATATAAATAACTAATGCATACAGTAAAGAAGAAAATGAACGGTTAAACAATTGATAGTTATTTTAAGGCAGTTCTATACTTAGGATTATTTCTGAGGGTCTCCTCTGAATTTTGCAGAGGATATGAACGGTATTATCGAAAGATACGCATGAAAACAATGTAGTGTTGAAAAACTAAAGTGAGTCTAGGGTAAAAAGCTCTGTATATGGGCACTTTTGCAATAGATTTGGTTAATTATTTATTCGTTTTATTTGTGTTACATTTTTTTAGCCTTAGAGCCTTATTTTCCATTACTTTTGAGATTATGAACTTTCAAAATGATCATATATTTTCTAGATATGGATTCGCTTCTTATGCATCCGATTTTTTTAGAATAATCTGAATAAAAGTAGTCATCACGCATCAAAATAGTTGCAATTTATGAAACTTCTTACCCTAGATTCACTGAAAATAGTTTACTGAGGACTTTGCAGGTGTTGATAATCTGATTACATATAATCTTTCTGAAAAATACGGATTTTAACAGCAACAATTGAAAAAATCTCAGAATATTTACAGAGTCCTAAAGCTAAAATAAGGTAACAAGAATCACTAGACGAGTCACATTTGAACTATGAGGTTCTGTAGTCACCATATCAATGTAATTTGAGAAAATTCAAAACAACATAAAAAAAAGCTAAACATTAAAGTACAAAATAAGAGGTAGAAAGAAAGAAAAAAACAAAGCCTTCCCGTTCTGTGCTTTGTTCAACTGAACAGAGATGTGACTTAGGTGAAGTAGGAAAGGCTCTTTTGCCTGAGGACAAAGGTATAAACATTTGACTAATGCATAATTAAATTGCAAATAGTATGCATAATTGCATTTTATAGTTTCAAGGATCGAACTGAAGAAATTCATCAGTTAGGGGTTCTTGCTGAACTTAATTTTTAAAATCACAAGCTGGAGAACATATTCGTTTGAAAATGTTCTAAATTGTTACATCCAATCAAAAGGAAAATTTGGTAAAAATTTCGATGAAGAAGCTTTTTGGTTCTTTTCTAGACCAAAAATCGAAACAGCTGGGATGAATTTCTTCAAATTATGATCCTAGAAGTTATGTAAGATGGCTTATTTATGAAATCAGAGAACAAAAACAAAACTAATCAAAAGAAATAATTAGAAACATAAGTGAGCAATCAGTCTTTCAAATACACTGTTCGAATACTTTTTCACCATCGGTGGAAAGAAAATTAATAATTATTTTAGGCTTTTGGGGAACCATCATTCGCAGGGAGACTTTGTATTTCCTTACAATCTCCATTACTCACCGGGTGCAGCACAAGGTACTTCGGTGTTGTTACACTTGCAATCTCATCCCCAGTCTTGTCACTGAATGTACACTCTTCTTCAGAAAAGAATTCTGGAAAAACAAACACAAATTTTAAGCAATATTTTACCAACCAAAATGTACGTATGTATTGTTAATTTAAATTTTATGCTGGTCATTTCCATAGTTTGCTCCAAAGCCTTGAATTAAAATGGTGCAATATTTACTGAATGAAAATTCTCTGTCTGAATACAAAAGGCTAGTTTTAATTGTTTATTACTTCATTGGGACAGCTGTTTTGGAAGCTCTGAAGAGGGCAATAAAAATTATTTTGCAATGATTTCTAGTGAAGAGTTATCATCCGTTTCCAAGATAGCCTCCATTTGAAAAAAAAAAAAAAAATGGGACAAGAGGGAGGAAAAGAAGGAAAAGAAAACTTATAAACTATAAAACTTAAGTTCTAACTTATTCCATCTTTAATGTTCACAGGCACAATCCAGAAAATCATGTCACGATTACAGCGAGTCAAAAGTACAATTATTGGCATGTATGACACCACAAGACGTTGTTGATCTTTATTAAACCACCGAACGTACGGATTCTCAGAGTAGCTGCAATACCCTAAAATTGAAAATGGAATGAACAGAGTCCTATTGCCTCAAATGGGTGCCATTGTAAGACCCCATGAGAAATTCCATTTTATTTGCAAAGATATCCCTGTCTATCAGTCCCAAATGAGGATTCAATACACCATAGACAATAAAATCGACGAACATTTTTAACTTACCCCAATTGGCTTGAAAAAAGTCCATACTGAGACTGCCTGGACTAGGCATCTTAAGATGAGGGTACAAAGACTTCAAAGGAATATTACCAATAAATACTGGAATTCGCATGGTAGCCACAATTTTTGGCGCAACATTCACGACATCCATCTAGAACAATTGAGCATATCATTAGGGGTAATAAGATATTTTTTTTAAAAGAAATGCTCTCTCAACAAAGTTCATGTACTAAAGATAGTATATAAAGATCGGTTTACTGATTGGGTGAAAAAGAAAAAAATGACACTGATACAAATGATGCAGGTTCATTCCTAAAATATTATCTGGGATTGGTGGGTTTCTATGGATAACCTACATTGATTCTTCGTTTTTATATAGCCGTTTATACGATGCACACTAGAAACGTAAATTTTTTCTGCAGCTGGCAAAAATCGCAGTGAGGGGTATCTGTAGTGTGGTCATAGAGGGTGCCTACGCTGTCTACGGTCCATCTTGAATCAAGTCGAGTCGGACAAGATTTTTTATACTCTTGATAGAACTTTATGGCTCAATAGTTGATACCTAAATATCATTGAAGCACAGTCAGTCTGAATGCCCAATTCCTGCAGTAAAGATCAACAGAGGTATTGCCTTTTGAAAAACTGGCAAAAGCAACGGAGTGGCTGACTAGTTCTCAGCCTCAACTCTTTTTTTTTAAACAGTTAATAAATGGCGATGATTTTGCCAACTAGTGCCATCTTTTGGTATTTTTTTAACTCAACCTTTTTATTGCAAATGCCCATTTTTTTTTCTCTTCCTGTAATTCTTCTATTTATACTGCAGAATAGAGGTTCTCTATTATTAAAACAATTTTATGATAGGTGAGACAGACAAATTCGTATGAGATACCTAGCATATGAAACTGTGGTCAAATTGTTGAAATAAACTGCTGACTTTTATGAGATTCTATTTTCAATCAGAGTTATGCTTTCCAACATCATCCACATACCTGCTTTGTTCCGACTTCAGGGTGTATACAAATATTTAATTTTGATTTTTCCAATATTTTCCTGATATTTGAAATGAAATTTTCGATTTTTTTGCCTGGATAAAGTGACATTTGTTTGATTTCACAAACCAACAAATTCAATGAATGGAATTAAGTGTTTCACTTGTGCATGTGCTAGACTGCACATATTTGAGAAACGCTTGACTCTACAATTTCCTGACACATGACCGATTTTCCTAATTTTTCCTGATGACGTCGAACCTCCTGCTATTTTCTGGTTTTACCAGTTTATACTGATGGTAGACACCTTGTGAAATGTAAACCACGGTTACGTAAGAAAAAGTTTTGAAGTAATTACTTACTTGGATCCAGTATTGAATGGACCAACCGTAGCAGTCGTGAATAGAGCTTGGGGGCACAGAAGGCACTGTAATCATTTCGTTCATCCAAACCTGGGTAGTGCCCACCGGGATTGAGCCTCGCTGGTAATCAGTAACGAGTCGTTTGCATTTCAACTTTCGGCTGTCTGCAAACACATCTACATGGCACATTTTCTGAAGGAAAAGAAGAGCACACATCTAGAATTTTCAAAGATGAAAACAAAATATTATAGAATAGACTTACAGATATACCTTCTTTGCCTCATTGCAACAGTTTGCTCTTTTTCCCTTTCACAAATGTTTTGTACCACTCTCTCATCATGATTTACCTCATATAATTTTCAATGTTTGTTATTCATTGAAGAAATGTACATTTGCTTAGAATTTTTAAAAAGAGAAACCTTATTCAGTACATTTTCACTTCACTTTCCTTGCAACATTTATTCTGAAGACTCTAGCAATTTTCTAAAAAAGGCTAGGTTGCTCTTATTGTTATTAGATATATATTACGGCTGTTCAAAAATTATGTCATACGCTAGCAGAAGGGACCAGGGAAGGAAGAGAAAGGGTCTGACACTGCATGGCATCTTGATTTTTATGCAAGTACAAGAGGGGTAACTTGTTAAGCATAGTGCAATTTTTTGTGATTGTTCTATCCTGCATTACAGGGGATAGAGTAACCAAAAATCGATGTTTCAGCGAGAAGTAATCTTAACCAAGAACTTTGTACAGAGACAGAAAAGTATCCGCATTATACAGGTCACGGAAAATAGTAATTAGGGGCTTTTTTTTTCAAATTTTGTATCGCATGTTTCCTTTTCAGAAATCCAAGTATTTTGTCAGAATCTTTGTAGAAGGAACCTGAAATTGATTTAATTTTCTCACCTGCACAAGAGATACTTTAGTGTAATAGATTGGTCTGTGAGAGTGATTCTCTATGCAGGCATTTACACAGATTTGTTCGCCTGGAATAAAACCTTGTCGGTCCAATTGCAGAGACGCTGTCACCATATCCCAGCTGATGCAGGGGCATTTTGATGCTGTGACTGTGGCTGTTATGGGCATCTGAAATCATACAGAATCAAAAAGATCAGATGTAATAATCAAGATTTTAAAAAAGAAAGCTGCGGTCTTTTTTTTTTTAATTTGCCCAGTCCTCCTAAGATACCTATGTCCATTAAAAAGTTGATTTTTATGTTAAATTTGAGATAAACTGATAGATTAATTTAGGTATTTCATGATACAGCAAACTAAGTACATTTCTTTCACCGCAACCGATTAGGTAGTGGTTCTATATCAATGGTGAAACAACAAAATCACCTTCTCAGTTGGCGGCATTGAGGATTTCCAGTCCCATTTTAATTTTTTTGGCAGGAATACGAAGGATCATTATTGCAAAACAAATTGATGGCCAAAACCATCTGTGTTTGCGACAAACTTTGTGCCATTATATATTTTTCTTTGGAAAACTAGTAGACAGAATTTCTTAAAAACTTCCTTGATTTTCATTCTCTACATGCAGAGAAAGGTACCTAATCTGTCTACTTTCTAACTATCAAGTTGCCTTATGTCTCTTCAAAAAACAAAATAGGTTCTGGAAATTTTTCTAACACCAAATTCGAAGAAAGAAAACTTTTTAAAAGCAGTGTTCGCAGTGTTCCCTTAGATTAAGAGAAGAATTGAATCAGTGAGAACGAAAACACACCAACTCGGAAAAATGAAAATAATCAAGATACTGCACAGTAAGTAGGTGAAGAAGTTAGTTTAAGAAAAATATTTTTGCTGCCGAAAGACAAGTACTTATGGACACTTCAAAGGTCCAAGTTGGAACAGATACGCTAACTGCAATGACCTTTACGTAAATTACCTGTCTTTCATGGAAATTGAGCATTTTCGAGTTACTGAGTTGGTGTGTTTTTGTTCTCACTGATTCAATTGGTGGTAGATAGTGAGAACACAGCAAACTTACTTTGGCCTTTGGATGAATGTTCAGATCACAAATTCTGTTCACGCAGAAAGATCGTTCGAATGTCTCCAGAAGATCAGAGGCTCCCATTACTGTGGCTACAAGCTTGTAATAAACTGCCCACTGAGGCGATTCAACGGAGGAAGGAATACTGCCTGGAAGTCTGACAGAGAATGGTACTGAATGAGATCCAGCATCCATGAATTGACCTGAAATAAAAATGAGAGAGTAAGTATTACTTTCAAAAGGTGTTTCTATTTTAAAAAAAGAATTTAATATAAAAAGTACCACCTGGCAATTCTCATCCCGGCAACTGAAAAGGTATGAAAGCCATTGGCTGAAAAATAAATGTGTCTGCACTAAATTTTAGTGCAGGAGGCTGAAAAAATCAAACTTTGTAAGTCTTGTAAATTAATGGGAGAGATTGGAGATTTAACCCACATTTGAACCTCACTATATCGTTCGGAAAAAGTTTAATGGGAGGAACCTAGCCACATCAAAACTGAGCCAAGAAAAATAACGATGGTAATACTTTCAAACTACGCTTCTGGTTTGCGGTGCTTTAAAATCTTCACTCCTATTTTATTCTTATTGAGGAGAACGAATCAACAGTGTTCCTTGAAGTTTATTCAGAACTTTCTTTGCACTGAGAAAAAAAATCATGGAAGCTTTTATTTAAGCATTGATGTTGAGATGTTTTCAGTTTAAAAAAAAAAGTCTGCATCATTGCAAACTAATATCTGTGACAGGGAGTTTCACCGTCGATTTTAAGGGTTTCTTCCTCTGAGAGATTCAGTGTTAGAGATTAAATTCAAAACTTCCACAGTTAAAACTAAACATGAGAAAGTTCAAGTTTGAGTTTTTTTCCGCTTGGAAATTTTGATGGGAAAAACTTTGGGGCCAGTAGGTAAAAGCGCCTAATTAAGTTGTTCAGGGCTTTTGAACAGTATGAAAGCTCTCTCAGTTTCAGGAGAGTGAATTTCATGAGAAAATGATAATCTGGCTAAGTTGAGATCTTCAATGAGATAAAATTAATCATCTAAACAGCTTGAAGGAACTACTATCATTAGATCAATAAATAATACATTAAAAAAGAACTAATTTTTTTGTTGTACCTGGCGAACAAGAAAAGATACTTTCTTTCAGGTCTATTAACTTCAGAGCTTTAACTGCCTTTCCATCTTGTTTAGCTTCTCTTTCCTCCTTGCAATTGCTTGACCCATCATTAGAGCTAGATTTGAAAATGGCTCGCTCTCCAACAATATTCACTGTAATATCTGAAATAAAAGACAAAAAAGATCAGTTTTAAGAAGTGAGTTCGACTTTCAAAACTCCTTCATTTTAGTAGTAAGCAATTTCTGTTGCATTTCTGTCGCTCACGGTGTCGACGACTACTGGTGAACGTAGCGCTCTCTGTTGATGAATTTCATAAGTTTTCAAATTTAAGGTTAGACACATCGCTCACAGACTTCGCTAGTGTCTTCGGAGTAGGAGATAAGTAAACAAACCAACGTGAGTTGATATAAAATGCCCATCATTGATGCTTTGATAAAACCTGACATAATGGGCCATATTTTGCAAAACGAAATTAATATTTCTGTATTATTTGCAAATCAACGTATGTATCACTAGTTCCCCCAAATAGATCCGTCTCTTAATGGATGAGTCAGAAAAAGTAGTTAATTATAGTGGGATTGCAATATACCGTCCAAATGTAAGCTCCGACACATCATGGTTTTGCACCTTGATAAGGCTGTACAATACATCAGTATCAACACAATTTATAATGAAATTGATCTCATCAAATGATCGAAGGACCAGACAATACAAATTGAAATTTCAAATTTTGCAAAAGTATTGTAAAGAAGGGAGCACATCCGCTTTTGGATTCAGACATCAACCATGATGTCAAATTCAGAGGGCATTTTCACTTATTCACAAAGCCCGATCATAATGTCAGACACAATATTCGTTATACAATCGGAAGTTATTAGATAATGAATAAAATGAAAAAATCTTACTAGATACGTTGGTTTTCTCTCGCAAATTAAATTTGATGTGCCCAGTGACAGGTTCATCAGGGAAGTAAATGCCTTGAACAAAATCGACACTTTTCGAGATCAATAACGCCATCGTTCGTAAAGATGATTCCACTTAGAATTTGTTGATCGAAGAACTGTAAATTAATTCTGAAATGACATCACTTTAATTAATAAAATCAAAAACTAAACCAACCGAACTCCCGAGTCTTCGTCAGGCACACAAGCGCAGGGGCTGACAGACAATATTGGCTATTGAGGTTATGGTTATATCGTCACCGCTCATTCTTATGCTGCCGTGCTTGTGCCGTGCTAAGGAAGAACGCCCTATGAACATTCGAGAGTTGCAAAATTTCCTTCGATAAAATGTTTATTTCTGAGCAAAATTATGAATATTTTTCCCTGAAATTTTCAGAAGTCTTCGTTCAAATTACGAACAAAATTATCTGAGAAATTGGAAGACAAATATTCTCAAATATTCCTGAAAATTAGTGATTTGCCAGGGGAAATTTGGCAACGCCTAAGGGTTCATACGGCGTTTTTCTTTAGCGTGGCAGTATGAGAATGGATGTGAATTTAACTGATGGCAGGGTGGCAAAATTTCATGAAAAATAAATTCTTGGAATTTCACGTGAAACATTTCATGAAATTTCAGAAATTCATGAAAGACATTGAAAAATACCGGTTCCTTTACATGTTTCGCAAAATGTAAAAATTACTACTTCCTTCTATTTATGTGTATTTGAGTGCGGATTGCATACTCTAGCCCCTGAAAAATACGAAATATTTCACAGCCTCATGAAATTTTTATAGGTACTCTGGAAATTTCAAATATTTCACTGAAATTTCCAATCTTTCATTTCGCTCTTACGTTTCGTGCTACCCTGATTGAATGATGGAATGTGCCTCGTAGAAAACGGTTTCCAACGTTACAAAGATTATAAACATTTCATGAACCAAATTATTCAGTATCTCTAACTCTATCCTGTAAAAGGGATACAAGCGGTATACAGGATGAGAAGATTTTTCAGAACGAAAGTGAATTCATTACCTACTTCTTTTTAGATCGATGAGAGTCCTATCCTTAATGTCAGTAATTACCATGTTTCACTCAATTTTACAGAAAGACTTTTAAAAATTTGCATTCCTACACTCGAAACCATGTACAAAAAAAGAAAAAAAGAAGAAAAAAGAAAAAAAAAATCAGAGCGTGAGCCGGGCTGAAGCCCTTTTCCCACCTACCTTCTCGTAGTTCTCGTATAGTGATGACACAGCTTGGCGTATCCAACTGTATGCTATGTTGCCTGCACCTGAATTGAAGGCGCTTTACATAGAGTAACCACCTGCCTGCAACCCGACTGCGGGCTGATTATTGACATCGATAAACAAAGCAATAGACAAAGAAGACATACGGAGTTATCGGTTGAAATGGTTGGTACCTACAGACTAGGTAAGGGAGCAATTGATGGACTAACTTTAGGGCCCCTCGTGGGCGGCTGTTCGTTAGTAGGTATTACTTACCTTCTTTGTCCATTGCACCCACCCGCTTCCACCAACAGGATCCCTCCATATCCCTTTCGTCTTCTTTGTCTATAACTTTGTCTATCAATTTCAATAATCGGCCCGCTCCGTCGTGTCCTCGTATCGCGGTCCATACGCCACAGCAAGTGAGGATGTACCTAAACCCTCATTTTTGTAAAATTAAGTTGAAAATCGGTTCAAGTCAATTTTAAGCACAATTTTATCTGACATAACTCATCGCGTACGTGTAACAGTAATTTTCCTCGTTTTGAGTTTGTTTGTAGGCACCATTTGATGGTAATTCAGATTTCGTTCGGAGAAATTTTATTTTGGGAGGGGGCTATCTAGACATAATTTCAATTTTCTTTACGAGATTTTTTACAAATCAATTTAAATTGTTTTTATTGGTTCAGTATCAAGGTTATATGGGCCTTCATTTTAGGTGTGGGCAACACAATATACAGTTCGATACGCTAAGTTGTGCTTATCACTTACCGGGACGGTCAACTTCTGAATTTTATCATTTTTACAAGAATATAAGTGCGCTATTTCTGTCCAAAATGTTGCTAAGTTTTTAGCGTTCTGAGAGGAAAAATCAGTGAAATTTTCAGTCAGAACTGCCTAGCGACAGTAAAATAAGTGAAATTTGGGGATTTTTTTCGTATGGAGAAATAAAAATTCAGCCCAAGATTTAGAGTCCTCGCAGAATAAGTTTACTCATTTCTCGACTGCCACAGAAGATCGTCTAACGTCACCTTTACATGTGCAGTAAATGCAAGAAGCAAGATGGCGGATCTTCTGTCGCAGTCTAAAAGTGCGTAAACTTAGTTGGCTTGGACTCTAACCTTCTTAAATCGTCAAGTCTCTAGGTTTTTGATTACCTACTTGGACCGCGTTTGGCAGAAAGGAACCAAGCCACATCAGCTATTGACTAATTTAAGTCGGAAATTTTATTTTTATAAGAGGACGTGTGTGCGGATTCCTTTGAAAATGTTGAGGAATTTGCTTCGTACTAAGCAGAAAATTAACTGACATTGGCACAAAAATCCGCACAACCTTTCTTTTTTGTAAAAAATGAAATTGCCCAATCATATTTGAGGGGCTTGGAGGACAAGGCGCATAAGTGCAGTTTTTGCTATTTCGAAATGTACATGTTTGAAGTTTCAAAAGTAGGTACATGGATCTTTATGGCGGAAAGAAAGTTCAAACCGACTTTTTGATGCCTCGAAATTGAACTTTGGGTGCGAATTTTTCACAGAATATGCATTTAGACTAGTTTTACTTGAAAAAATTAATATCTCAATTTTTTTTTCAAAAACTGCACTTATGCGCTTTGCCCTCCAAGCCTCTCATTTGGCAATAGCTGATGTGGCTTGGTTCCTTTCTGCTTAACGCGATTCACGTACGGTACCGCCGCACAGTGAATCGAGTCAATAGAAGAGGTCGGACAAAATTTAGTAACTTCAAAAGCTCATAGCTACGTTTATACATTACTTTGAGGTTCTAGAAGTGGTTTCCTTGGTTTTCTCTTGAAATTTTCTATTAAAAGCACCCCTTAAAATTAAAAATGTGACGAAATTAACATAAAAATTTGCAGTTTTAGTAAAAAATTTCATGTCCGCGCGACCTCTCTGACTGACTCAATCCACTGCGTGACGGAAAGTCCTGAATTTTTTGGGCCAAAAATACCTCTCCAGACTTTTTTTTCAGACGAGTACCTATATTTCGCAACTTTCCTCAATAATGTAGAAAGGTAATAAAGGGAAAGTGGACCCGGGGCCACAGCGTTTGGGTTTTATTTGTTTGTCTGGAGCCCGAAATCGGACCGGGAGGATATTCTAATTTCCCGACGAGACGTACCCGTCATAAAGACCGGATTTGCCGGTGATAAAATAGTCCGGGCAAAAAAATGGACGAGAACCGCAAAATTTATTCATCACAAAAGGCTCGGACCCCGCCCTCTTCCCCGTCGTTGATTCAGTCGCTCCTCTGACGTAAGAGCGTATCTCAATTCCCGTATGAGCCCTGCTTTGCCTATACTGCCAGGCTAAGGAAAAACGCTTTATGAACATTCGAGAGTTGCCAAATTTCCTCCGATAAATTGTTTATTTTAAAGGAAAGTTATCAATATTTTTCCTTGGAATTTTTAGACTATTCAGATCAAATTACGAACGAAATTCTCTGAAAAACCGGAAGAAGAGTGTTTATGAATATTCCCGAAAATTCATGATTTCTCAATGGAAATTTTGCAACGTTTAAAGGTTCATACGGCGTTTTCCCATAGAACGGCAGTATAAATCTGTGCTTTTCGGGGCTCATATGGAAATCGAGATACGCCCTCGCGTCAAAGTGAGCCTATTCTACCATGCTCAGGAAAACGCCGTATGAGCCTTCAGGCGTTGCCAAATTTCCCGAGGTAAAACTTGAACTTTTGAGACAATTTGTGAATCTTTTTCCTCCAATTTTTCAGATAATTTTTTTCGCAATTTCGCCTAAAGTTCCTAAAAATTTGAAGGAAAAATATTCATAACAATCCTCAAAAATAAACAACTTATCGAAGGAAATTTGACAACTCTCGGATGTTCATACGGCGTTCTTCCTTAGCGCTGCAGCATTCGAAACATCGCCTTGCTGTCTTCCGCGGATTCTTTGTAGCTTCATTCCATCTCGTCGAGTTCATCGTTTGATAAACTTTTTTTCCTTTTTTTTTTTCACGCTCGACGATTTTTTCCAAGGGGAGGAAACCCTTTCGCGTTTATTCACGTCTGAAATATTTTGATAAACACGCGAGACATAAAATATTTTTATTTCATGCTAAATGGGCGGCGGGCGGGCGCGGAAGGCGGGAAAATTAGAATTCAAATTGGCCGGGGATCGTCGGGTGGTTCGCGGAGTGCTTTGACCCTCCGCGCGCGGATTCAATCTGGTTAATGCTTGAATCGTGTCCGCGCCCGCGACAAAGCAGAGTTCTCCGCTGCTCGGCGGGTTGCTCCCATCGATTTTGGAAGGCGCGATGCGCGTCGCCGAGTCTCGCAGCGCGAGAACGATGGATTGCCAAGCACCGAAATATTGTCGCTGTAAGATCCTCATTATTTGAGGTCTCGTCTCTCGATCCCATGCGTGAAGGTATACTGCCGTCATAGCGAAGAGAGCAGTAAATGTCAAATTTTCGAAATCGAGTTTCCTCACTCGTCATCAGAGAAAGAGTATTTGCACCTACTCTAAAAACGCCGTAAAAGCGGTTGATACCACTTAGGGTTACTTCCGAGGCCGAATAGTTGCATCCCGTATTACAACCACAGTTTGGAGCGCCAATCCGCTGACTAATACTCTCCATCAGAGAATAGAGTGTTTGCTCCCGTCATAGCGAAGAGAGCAGTAAGTGTCAAATTTTCGAAATCGAGTTTCCTCACTCGTCATCCGGAATAGAGTATTTGCACCTTCTCTAAAAACGCCTTAAAAGCGGTTGATACCACCTAGGGTTACTTCCGAGGCCGAATAGTTGCATCTCGTATTACAACCACAGTTTGGACCGCCAATCCGTAGACTATTCTGCCGTGCAATGCAAAAACGCCGTAAACGCCACTTTAGATTTTTTTTGGAAACAATGTATCATAGCAGAAAAACTT